CTGCCTCAGCACCCTCCTCCCCTGGAAGCCCAGTCCAGCCCTCCTCCCTGCCCTTCCTCTCCAGAACACAGCTCACTCGTGAGGCCTCACTTTTTCCCAGTTTTGAAAAAAAAAAATCACCAAATACAGTAAAACATTCAGAAACTAAAAATAAGGCCCCCAAAGAGCAGGTCATCATTTAGTTCCTGACAGCCAACTTAGTTTTGAAGCCCTGGAGTCCCATACTTTGTTGACAAACTTTCCCAGCCCTGTAGAAGTTTCTCTGTGGTGGAGCGAACGTGGCTCAGAGGGAAGGGGGCTGGTCTCAGGCTGGTTTCTCTGTCCAGTCTCCGTTCCTGCGTATGTGGGAAAGCACATTGACTGAGCCGGAGGCATCTTCACTGCAGGTCCGTTACTCCAGGCCCCACTCCTGCACATTGCTTCATTCGTGCATTAAGAGAAAATAAAACTATCACTGGGGAGCTGGGCAGTGATGGAGCATGCCTTTAATTCCAGCACCAGCACTTGAGAAGCAGAGGCAAGTGGATCTCTGTGAGTTCAAAGCCAGCCTGGTCTACAGAGCTAGTTCCAGGACTGATAGGGATACTCAGAGAAATCCTGTCTCAAAACCTCCCCACCCCCAAAACAAACAAACAAAATCTGTCACTGAGCTTGGGATGTAGCTCAGTTGGTAAGAGTGTTCACAAAGCCCTGAGTTCAATAAACCAGGTGTGGCAATGTACACCTATGATCCCAGCAGCTGGAAAATGGAGGCTGGATTGTTTGTGGTAAATGTTTTATTTGGATATGATGCCATTTGCTTCTTCTCTCCTTCCCACTCTGATTTTATGTGCAAGCTGTTATGACCTCATGAAATATTTTTGGCAACAACCTATTCTGCGGGACTGATGCTATCATGAGGAAACCAACCTTGTTTCAGTTTCTCCTGCTATGTATTCACAGCACAGATCACTTCTGGTCTTTGGAGGAACTTCTCACAAACCAAAAAAGCAAGCAGTTTTGCAGTAATGGACACCACTACTGAATCCTCATTCAATTTAGCACAATCTGAAGATAACCCTAGACCCCAGAGGTTGGGGTCTGGGTTCCCAAGAAATCCCTCCTAACTTCTTATGCTAATCATGAGCCCAAGCTGTTTTACTTATGCATCTGACCAAAAGACTCCGATTCTCTCCTCGGATTTGACCCATTTGCTTGAAAGGCCCACAGAATTGAGGGTGGCACATTACTGGTTTAAAGTAAAGGATCCAAATGGTTCTCGGGGCTAGGAATGGGAGGGGGAGCATATGGCTGCCCTTGCTGAGGAGTGTGTGATGGTTTGGGCCAAGTGGAGGCCTGGGGAAGAAGAGGCACTGGCCCAAGGCTTACCAGGAATTTTTCTCTGACTGACAGTAGGGACAAGTGAGTCACCTGATCATCCATGAGGCAGCAATGGGAATTTGAAAGGTCTGTGTCTGCCCTTGTCACAGGTAAACAAGAGCATGGGGAGCCTTTAAATATGATGGCTCTTTCTAGTAAAATTTTAATGGAATCCAGAAAATGGAGAGGTTTTTTAAAATGTGTTTATTACTGGTGCCTGTGGAGGTGGGCAGAAGGCATTAGATACCCTGTAGCTAGAGCTACAGGTAGTGGTGAGCCATCCCGTGTGAGTGTTGAACCCTGAACTCTAGTCTTGCAAGATCAGCAAGAGTTCTTCACTGCTGAGCTATTCTCCAACCCTGGGGTTATTGTCCCTGTTTCTAGGAACATGGAGCAAAGGTAAAATTCAGTATTATCTATGCAGGAGAGAAATGGCAAGATGATGTGGTGGTGACGTATGTTTTTCAAAAGTCCTTCTGCGGGGCAAGGTGTGCTGGTGCATGCCAGCACTAGGAGTTCCAGGACAGCCAGGGCTACATGGAGAGAGCTTGTCCCAAACAAACAAACAAACAAACAAAGAGTTCTTGTATGGGTTTATAATGCTGTCAGCAGTACACGAGGGCCCCCTGTCCAAATCCTGTGGACACTTGCAAAGGATTTTTGGTCAATTTAGTAAGTGCACAGTGGTTGTACTGTGACTATATTTTGCATTTTCATGATGGTCAGTGTGCTTCAATATTTTTTTCATCCTAATTTTCTGTGTGTCCAATTTTGTGAAGTTATCTATATAAGTCTTTTTCCAATAATATGTTCAATTTGACTATTCTTACTCATTGACTTTGGAGAGGTCTTTGTATAATCAGGAGACAAACCTTTGGTATTTGATGTTTGATATCTGATATTTGATTTGCAAGTGTTTCTTTCTGTTCCATAGTTTGTATTTCCAGAATCTTTTGGGCCAAGGCTTTGTATGATGTCCCATTCAAACAAGCAATCTCAACCACCTCCATGGGTTCTGTTTATAACTATGCTAACTTCTTGAAGCCAGGCTGAAACACCTCCTTCCAGATTCCTTTCTTGGACCATGATCCTGAATGTCTCTCAGGTGTATGATGTATAGCCTGACCAAAACTGGGTGCATCATCCTCTCCCCTGCAGAAGCTGAATCTCCACAGATAGCAGAGGGTCTGCCAGCTAAAAGAACAGGAATCAGAATGACTCTGATTCTCTCTCAGATCTACTTCTTGTCACTGAAGACAGCCGGTTCTTCCTCCTGAACATTCCTGGACACTTGCCGTCTCCACCACACAGCCCAGCCCCATTGCTCTTACCTGCTCTGCTCTTGCCCAGACAATCTCCCTTGATTCAAATTTCTCAAATGCAAGCCTGGCCATGCCATCTCAACTGAGCTCCTTCCAATGGCTTGTGCATTTAGATAAGGCCTGGGTGATAAATATTGATAGTCAGTTTGACAGGAGCTAGAGCCACTGAAAAGACAAATTTCTGGCGTGTGTGTGTGTGTGTGTGTGTGTGTGTGTGTGTGTGTGTGTGTGTGTGTGGATTATCAGGGTCACATTAACTAATCAACTATGGATGATGCTGTGGCATGGCCTAAGGTCCTGGGCTCCATAAAAAGAAGAAAGTCAGATGAGCGCCAGCCTTCATGTCTCTGCCTCTTGATGGATGACACACTGTGACCAAGTTTCTGGCACCATACTTTCCCTGCTACGATCATCTGTACCCTCAAATACTGATCCAAAATGCCTATTTTGTTATAGCATCAAGAAAAGTAACTAGGGAATTCAATAAACTAGTCCCCCCTAGTCTCTCTTTGCAAATTTTTATTTTATATTACATGTGTAGGTGTTTTACCTGTCTGTATGTGCATATGCACGACATGAGTGTCTGGTATCTGTAGAGGCCAGAGAGGGCATCAGATCTCCCAGGACTGGAGTTACAGGTGGTTGGGTGTGGAAACTCAAACCCAGTTTGGCTGAAGGAACCGTGGTTGCTCTTTACCACTGAGCCATTTCTCTGTCCATCTCATCTTCCCTTCCTGCCATTCTTCCATGCCACCATAACTGTACACGTGCTCCCAAGAGCACCAACAAGCTGAAGAGAGAAGCAAATGCTAGTTTCTTATCCACATGCTCCAAAGTTACTGTCCGGTTCCTAACTGTGAGGACAAAGCCTGGTTATATACCCTAGAGTTTGGAATCACTTATGATCACAGAGCTAGGAAGAATGTTGTCAACTTCACAAGCAGGTTAAACAATCATGTAGTAGTCAGCCCCAGACTCTATGTCCAGCTCAAAGACATAGAACACGGAAAAGTAACCTGTTCCTACCCTGTCAGTTTGGCTTTCTTACACTGACAACCTCAGCTAACCTCATGGACTACGAAGAAGCAAGGCAAGAAATCACATGGGAAGGAAATCCCTCAGGCTCTTTTTCTAGGGATACCTGGGATATAAAATCTTCATGTAAATAAAATGCCTCAGCGGGGAAAATTTTTTAAGAAAACATAACTAAAACAAGGCCCATAGTACTTCCTGGGACAACTAAAATCTCTGATAATATATCTGGGTTTTAATTAATTTAGGAGCCTCTTTCTTGGAGCCCTTTATGTTTTCATATACCAGAGGACACGGGGTATGGCTGTGTGAACATTTCCACCTGAATTCCTAAAACAGGGCATGAGAAGATAAAGGTGCTGTTGTAAGTAAGTGACATTGGTACAAGAGTTGTTAAGGGCAGAGCCTGAACCTGCAGGCCTAACAAGCTAGACTTGGCCACCATCTGCCCTCACTGTGTAGTAAACAAGTTACAATGAAAAGCAGAGTAAGAATTCTCCAATGTGGCTTCACTGGGAGGAAGAACCAAAAAAAAAAAAAAAGAAAGAAAGAAAGAAAGAAAGAAAGGTCCAGTGACTTGCCAAAGTCCATCTTCCGGGTCATGACATGAAGTTTAGGTTCTCATACAGAAAGCAAGTGGTATTCATAACTAAACTGTCCTGGACAGGGTGTCATCCTGCCCATTATTGATCCACCATTATCTCAGTTCTAGTCTCTATTACAAGATAGTCTGACCAGTTGCCAGAACTGTGTTTTATCCCTTCCTGGGAGACAAACTCCTTCTCCGGCTGGCCCAGGCTTCAGCGTTTTCCTTCCTCCAGCCCAAGACTCCTGGGGAAAATCCCAATAGCTGAGAGGACACAGGTGTCTTTCTAAAGAATATCTTCAAAACTGCCAGGACAGTTAAATAAGTGGCCGGACTGCTCCTACGGGCACAAGGAGCAAAACCACGCCTATCCTTTATGCTTTTCTCACGAATGCAACAAATATAATTATCCCTCTCCTTGATGTCTACGGCAGAGGACAAAACCATATTTGTTAACGGTTCACCAGAGTTCTTTCTGTACAACTATGAGGTGCCTGGCTCCGAAGCAGAACCTGGACTGGAAGCGGGAGCTAAAAGCTAGGATGCGCTCTCTCCGGGTCTGGCTAAGATCAGGGTCACCCTGGAGCCAGCAAGGACATCCCTATACAATAGGCCTGTACAAGAACCGAGCCTCGGGAGCTCGGACTTCCGGGGAAAGCAGGAGTCCTCCTATTGGCGGCGACTTAGTGACGCCATCGCATCGCGACAGCGGCCCCTATTTCCCCTGGAGAAGAACTGCTGGGTACTTGGAACCGGACTGGCTCTGGCTTCTCCGCTCTTGGCCTCCAGCCTCGCAGGTGTCATCGGAAGCGTAAGGCGCCGGGAGGGTCCGGCTGCAGCGGCCAGGTAAGCTAAGGAAGGTGAACCGGGGTTGAGAAACAGAGCAGCCGACCGCGGTTCTCGGAGAGTGGAGGTCGACAAGATCGCACACACTGCCCTGCGCCTCAAGCTGCCCATTCCTGTGCTGTTTGCTGAGGGACCCTTGTGCTGTGAGCCATAGTGATCATTACAAAAACACCAGCGCCACCCTGCCAGGTGACTACCTCGTGATGCCTCAGTGCTGCTTTCTGTTCAATAAGGCTTGTTACAAAGACGGAATGAACCTGAGCGCGCTGTCACGAGGGACTAGCACAATCCGTGAGGCTTGGGGTTATCGGAGTGCAGGTGTTCAGCCTTCTCTCTATCACTGGCCGCCCAGGGGGCATGGCTGATGGCAGTAGGTTGGTAGCAGTTAGAGCCTGAGAGGAGTAGGCAAGATTGAAACTTGATTGTCTTGATTGGGAAGTACCTTGCTTCTGAAGAGAACTTCAATATTGTTTAGACAAGGATTCAGTACCAACTCTTTCTTTTAGCTATATGACCCTTGAACCTTAGTCAAGCCCTTACCCTATCTAAAACTTGCCCAGCAGTACCTACCAGCCACACAGTCAAGAGAATTAAATCAGACATCACAGGTGGAATACTTGGCTTTCCTCAGGACAGTTACTGTCATTTGAGTGTGTGGTGTAACTGACCACATGTGCTGGAACAGTCTTTGGATTGTGGCATAGTGGTGCTTGTATAAGACAACAGAGCGGATGGAAAGCCTTTGGTTTCCTGGCCAGACTTGCAAGCTGGCACTGTGGTGATCCTAAACAGGGTAGATTGACTTAACCAGATGAGGACCAAGAGCCCAAGACTGAGAGCTACCTCTACATTCATTAGCATAAAGACACAGGTCTGTGTGTGTGCCCTGGGGAACAGGCCTTGAATGTCACTCAGGTGCCATCCACCTTAGTTTTTGAGACAGGGTTCCTCATTGGCCCCGGAACAATTAGGCTAGATTGGCTGGCTGGCAAGCTCCAGGGATCTACCTGTTCCCATCTCTGCAGTCCTGGAATTACAAGCATGGACCACTGTGTGCAAACTTTCACGTGGGTTCTGGGGATTTAACTCAGGCCTTCAAGGGAAACATTTTACCAGACGGGCTGTCCTCCTAGCTCCATGCTGGTTTTAAAAGCAAGATACCCTGAAGAGGAAGGACTGTGTGATAAAGAATGAAGACTAGACCTAGATTAAGACAAAATAAGAGAATGGGTGGGGATGGAGTGTAGTTTAATTGAAGTATAGATCAATCTAGCATGTGCTCTTAAGGCCCAGCACCAATATCATAAGAACAAAAGAAACATAAGGATGAGGCTTATCTTTGGGTGGAGTCTAGAACTCAAAGTAGGTCCCGAACCTTGTTATTTTCTAAGAGATCTGGATCTGAGGAAGGAAGGAAGAAGTGGTCAGACACTTCCCAAAATTGATGATCACTAGGTTCTTTCAGGAAGTGAAATGTCAAGACCCTTGCATCTTCTATCTGTTCATTGGACAGATCAGTTCGAACCTGTGCTCCACACACAGCAGCAACACTGTAGGCTTAGGAGTGAAAGAAACAGGCATAGCTGCTGAACCCAGGGAGATAGCCAAGCTCAGACCAGTTCTCCAGCCTCTTAGCACCCCAAGTCTCCCTGTGCTCCAACAGGAGAAACTGGGTGCCTATCAGAGGAGGTGAGGGGCAGGTCCTAGGTCAGAGCAAACTGGTAGTGGTTCTAGCTTGAGCACATGATTGGTGGGAAGTGTTTAAGTCAGAGGGTAACAGGATCAAGTTAGTACTTTGAAAAGATGCATGAAAGAGCTGTAAAGCCATTTCTAGAAGTAGCTATTTGCCTAATCTGGGGATGATACCTAGTCCTGCACATTTTAGCCTTCCTCAGTTGGAGGGCTTCCTCTAAAACTAGGTAGAGGCAGCAGCCTGACCATCTTCATAGCATCGTCTCAATATCTGAGGCTTGAGTACATCAGTTGCTGGTGTCTGTCTCCCCAGAATGAAAGATGGCAGGGCCGAGTTGGCCTGCTATGTCCCCCACTTGCCAGCTGCAGGAACTTTCAGGAACACTGGTTGAGGAAAGGCTGGGATCCCTGGGGCTAGCTTAAAGCCTGCCATGTCATCTGTGCTCTGACTTTTTGAAGATAACAGGGTAAAATGACTTATGTGAGTACCTCCTGAGTGACATGCTGGGAATGGATGATGGGACAAAAACTAGGGATCTTCATGATGGGTTTACAGTCCTCCTGTCTCCTGCAGCTGGCTTCTTTCCTTTTAGGCTTTGATGCTGAACTCTGGTAGAAGGAGGTTGTTCTCAGCTCTGCTGCAAGTTCACAAGAGAGCCTGTCAGCCCTCTAGAGACATGAGACTGGTGCAGTTCCAGACACCCCACCTGGAGGGGCCTCACCTGGGCCTGGAGTCAGGGATTGGTGGGGGAGTCATAGACCTAAACACTTTTGACTCCACACTCCCCAAGACAATGATGCAGTTCCTGGAGCAAGGAGAGACTGCCCTCTCAGTGGCAAGAAGGTGAGTCAGCTGCTGTCTGGCCCTGGTCCCTCTCCTTCCCCATCCTCTCCTGCCCTGAGAATCAGAATCAGCAGGTGCCTCCTTTGCAAAGGAGCAGGGGACCCCACTGATTTCTTTTCACTTGTTCTTTCAGTCAAGAGCCAACAGGCATATAAATCTCTTCTTTTGAGACAGGGTCTTGCTATGCAGCCCAGGCAGGCTTTGAACTGGGAGAACTTTCTGCCTCAGCCTCTGGAATGCTAGGACTGAATTACAGGTGTATACGACTATACCCACAGAAGCCTTTAAAGTATTATATAACACCTTCAATTTACAGTGAGGGAAACTGAGGCTCAGAGAGGATGATTAATTCATTTGATTGTGGGACCAGGACCTTACCTCATTATACTGCCTTCCTGAGAGTTCCTCTCTAGAGGGACCTGCAACAAGATCCCAAGAAACAAGAAAGGCTTCTTGAGAAGATATGGTGTGATTTAGACCCTCAGAGGAAAGAGATTCCTGAGTTTGTCAAAGAACAGTAGATTAAAAGTACTTTAAGAAGGTGTTTTCACCCAGTAGAGTGGAGAAAAGAAATGTTTGACAGCCCAGTGTCACAGTGTCACTATGGTTCCAAAGATCCTTTTCTTTCTTTTTTTTTTTTTTTTTTTTTTTTTTTTTTTTTTGGTTTTTTGGTTTTTTTGAGACAGGGTTTCTCTGTGTATCTTTGGAGCCTATCCTGGCACTCGCTCTGGAGACCAGGCTGGCCTCGAACTCACAGAGATCCGCCTGCCTCTGCCTCCCGAGTGCTGGGATTAAAGGCATGTGCCACCAATGCCCAGCCCAAAGATCCTTTTCTTAAAAATTAGAAATGACTTCCTTTCCTATTATTAGGAACCAAAAGTATGTTAACACTGTAGGATAGCAGCCACAAGAAGGAGGAACTCTGTGTTCTAGGGAACACCAAATACTCTATCGTTCATACACAAAACGATGAGGTGAGAGGGGTATGCCACTGCAGCTGGTATGAGCTACCCAGGACACAGGCGTTGTCTCCAGGGAGGGACACAGTGGCTAGAGGGGAAGAGACCTTTTCATTTACTCCCATTTGCACTTGTCACATACTTCTCCATGAACAGCAGGTATCCACGTGGGAGGAAATAAGCGTTTGATGAGCACCGCCACACTCTGCTATAAAGGACTGTATGTAGCTGGGTTTGAGTCTTGCACTGATGGGTGAAAGTCTAGAAAATGCAAAAAGCAAAAGACATAACTGCTATGGGACCTCCCCAGCCTGCCCTTAGATTCCCAACCTGCTCCCTGCTAGCCCTTCTGCTTGGTCTCTACAGAGCCCTGGCTACCCAGTTGCCAGTCCTCCCTCGGTCACAGGTGACCTTCCTGGCCCCTGTCACCCGGCCAGACAAGGTGGTATGTGTGGGCATGAATTATGCAGACCACTGCAAAGAACAGAATGTGCGGGTGCCCAAGGAGCCCATCATCTTCAGCAAGTTCTCCAGTTCCATTGTGGGGCCCTATGATGAGATCATCCTCCCACCAGAGAGCGAGGTTAGTGCTTCCCACCACCCAGGTGGCTGTGCTCCAGCAGAAGGGTCACTCCCTTAGAGCAGCGGTTCTCAACCTGTGGGTCACAACCACTTTGGGGGGGGTCCAACAACTTTCACAGGGATCACATATCAGGTTATCAGCATTACAATTCATAGCAGTAGCAAAATTACAGTTATGAAGTAGCAACAGAGTAACTATGATTGGGGGTCACTACAGCATGAGGAATTGTATTAAAGGGTCACAGCACTGGGAAGGTTGAGAACCACTGCCTTGAGGAACCTTCTGTCACTCAGTAGTGCACTACACAAAAGCTAGAGAGGACTGTACTGTACTACCACAGGCTGGGTGTGGGTGACAGGAGGAATTAACTTCCATCTTTTCCCAATTACAAAAGTAATTTTCTACAATGCAAGTATACTAATAATCTAGGTAAAGCTGCCAATACCTACTGCCCGTGCTTTGATACTCGTATTTTGCTGCAGTCTCCCAGTGCTGTCTGTCCCAGCCATGTCTGCCACACATGCACCTTGTCCCAACTCCATAAAGAATATCTTTCATCCCACTCAGTCTTCTCCCGGACCCATCTGAGGTTGCCACATGGTTTCTATTCCAGACACTTTTTGAAGAAGTGTTTCTTCTTAGGGTACCTGTGTCCAAGTGTGATTAGATTCAGTGGAAGCAGTTTTCTGAGGTGTCTGCACAGGACAGGTCCTGTGTTTCCCATTGCAGCCTATCAGGAGGCCCACATCAGGTGTTCTCAAATGTCCCCTTTTGTTCACTTGATACTCGTTTACTCTCAACCATAGTTGGTCTGTAGAGGCCAGAAGAGGATGCAGGAATCCCTGGAGTTGGAGTTAACGGTTGTGTGTACCTGATATTGGTGCTGAGACACAAACCTGGGTCCTGAACGATCTGGGCAGTCTGTCCAGCCTCTAACAGTGGATCTCACTCTGGAGCACTGTTGGTTTTCACCCTGTACCTTGTTGAGGCAGGCAGGGTCTCATGCTTCTGTGCTGCATGCCAGGCTAGCTGGCTCCTAAGCTTCGGGTGATTCTCCTCTCTGCCTCTTGTCTCACTGTAGGAGGGCTGGGTTACAAATGTGGCATCGGTAGCTCAGGCTGGCACCTGGATTCAGGTGAACTTTTGCCAGTTCTTGTCATTACCATTAAAAACATCTGGGGAAGACTAAATTGTAAGTTCTTTCCAGTTGCATTTGGTTCACTTGGGAAGAGGCTGGCATTTGTTCACATTTTGTAGCCTCGAGCATTTCTTCCTTTTAAATTGCTTATTTGAGCCCCTTAAGTACATTTCTTCCAGGATCCCAAGCTTATTAAAACAAGTTAATGCATTTTAGCACGTACAGTGTCAAGCACACAGTAGAGTTACATACTGTTATTACTACGTGGCAAAAGTCTTCACTGCAAGTGTCAAGAGTGACTTTTAAACTCAGTTCCCCAAACAGACATAGTCCCCTCCAATGGTGCTGCTTGCCACTGCCCAGAGTTTATGGATCTTCAAGTCATACCCACATGTCAGTCACTTCACCCTGGTTCCTAGAAGCTGAGACCTACCTTACAGCCACTGCAGTTCACTGTCCTCTCTTGCAGGAGGTGGACTGGGAGGTGGAACTGGCCGTGGTCATTGGAAAGAAAGGCAAGCACATCAAGGTGAGGTGAAAGGGAGCCTCAGGCCAGGGAGGAACAGCAGTCCCAGACCCTGCCTCTGCTGGTACTGACCACTCTCTGCAATGGTGCTAGCTGTCTTACGCTGGGATGTGTTTGGCTCTCCCTTGGCTTTCGCATGCCACCTTTGGCTAGCACTGGTGCTAATGTGTGATAATGGCTTTGAGATTCTTTGTTCTAGGGGTTGTGTACCTGTGATGTAACCTATCTGGCCAAATCTCCTGCCCCAATAGGCCACAGATGCCATGGCTCACGTGGCTGGTTTCACTGTGGCCCATGACGTGAGTGCTCGGGACTGGCAAATGAGACGCAATGGAAAGCAGTGGTTACTGGGAAAAACTTTTGATACTTTCTGCCCCCTGGGCCCTGCCTTGGTTACCAGGGACAGCATAGCAGGTAGGTTTCTAGTCTTTGCCACTTGTACTCTCCCATGTGCAACACCTGAGTGTCAGGACAAAATAGTGCTTCAGCAAAGACTATGGTTACAACTACATGTAGGGCTTTGGTGTCACTGTTCCACAGAGAGCACGTGGCCAGCCTCAGGTGTGAGCTAGGTCTCTGTGGAACTGCCTCCCAGAGCCCCTTGGAGGGAATACAGCTTCAGTTGCTGTGAAATTACATCCAGAAAAATGAACTACAAAGAACACTGCTCTTGGTAGTGGGGCTTTCTCCAGCTTTCCCATCTAGAACAGTTGGTCCTTAAGCTGGAAGGATGCGATGCTGGCTCTTGAGCCTGTGGAGAATGGCTGTGATGAAGCCTCTTCATTTTCTGTAAGGAAGATGGGTGAGCACCAATAGGACCCTGCCCACCCACTGTGTACTCACTCATCCATGGGGGATGGCATGGCCATGAGGGTGAGCCCCTTAGGGCAGCTGCTGTGAGGGTGCCAGATAGTTTGGGTTGCACCATTGTCTGCTGCCTGCTATCCCTGTTGCTTTAGAGATGTGGAGTCATTTTAGATCTACAGTTACCAGCCTTTGCTGGGGATGGATGCCCTTTTTTTTTTTCCTGTTTTTTTCTATTTTTATTGTGAATTTTTTTTTTTTATGTATAGTGTTCTGCCTGCATGTATCCCTGCAGTCCAGAAGAGGGCACCAGACTACATTACAGATGGTTGGGAGCCACCATGTGGTTTCTGGGAATTGAACTCAGGACCTCTGGAAGAACGGGCAGTGCTCTTAACCCCTGTGCCCTCTCTCTAGCCCATTTTGAAATATTTTAAATATGTAGAAAATAAAGTAGTATAATTGATAACCATATGACTGCACTATTTTAAAAACACTTTATTACATTTATTTTTCTGTATGTATATGTGTGTGCCATGGCACTTGGGTAAAAAGGTGAAAGGACAATTTTCAGGAATTGATTCTCTTCTTCTACCACATGGCTCCTAGGGATCAAACCCAGGTCCCCAAGGTTGGCCTCTTCTTGTGGAGCCATCTTACCTGGCCTATGTGCCCCCCCCCCTTTAAAAAAAAGAAAAAAGCAAGTCCTGTGGCTGTTTTTGATCTCTATTCGGAGTCTAAACTGTACCTCCTTTCCTCACCTAAAGGGCTACTGCTGTTAATGTGGGAATTCAGGGAATTCCAGTCTGCAAGGAAGTCCCAGGGTAAAGTGCTAAGCCAGGGTAGGCAGACATACTCCCGACAGTTTCTCTCTCCTTTGGGGCTGGGTGTTGGAGGTGGATAACCCCTCAATGTTATTTTGAATTCCAGATCCACACAATTTAAAGATCTGCTGTCGAGTGAACGGGGAGGTAGTCCAGAGCAGCAACACCAATCAGATGGTGTTCAAGACTGAAGAGCTGATAGCCTGGGTCTCCCAGTAAGTGGGTGGAGCCCGTCACAGCCAGCCCTGGGAACTGAGCCCACTCTCAGCCCATGCTCTTACTTGATCCTTCTGCTTTCTCTAGGTTTGTCACCCTTTATCCAGGGGACATCATCCTGACTGGAACTCCTCCAGGGGTTGGTGTGTTTAGGAAGCCTCCTGTCTTTCTCAAGGTAAGTTAGTTTAAAAGAGGAAATGGTAGAAAGATGAGAGCTAGGGAGGCCTGGCAAGCTTGGAGCAACCTGAGGGGAGTGAAATGGGGAGGACCTGTTGAGGAGCCAAAGGCTAAAAACCTGGTGGCCTGCTGTGTTACAGAAGGGTGATGAAGTCCAGTGTGAGATTGAAGAAATTGGTGTCATTGTCAACAAGGTGGTGTGATGGCATCCCTATAACCATTGGACTTGAGACAAAGGTGGGACTTTGCTTCCACAGAGCTCACTGCTGGCCCTGCCCACTTGAGTTGCTTTAGGTAGGCCTTGGAAATAAACTTTCTCTCAAAGTTGCAGCTTAGCTTCTGCTGTCTTTTAGCCACACACACTCTCCCCCATCCCCAAGGGGAAGTAATGTTCACGGGGCAAATAAGGAGGGAGTAGATATTAGACAAATACCCCAGGCTGAGGGAAGAAACTAACCTAGTATCTTTATTTATGACACCAAATGATGAGTAAGCTTTTCTAAGTCCAGGTGAGCAGTGTCCTGATCAGAGGATGACACACACTTAAGTTCTAGGCTGACTAGTCCCATCAGCTTCCACTCTCTGGTTCTAATTGCAGATAAACTGTCGGATAAATTGTTCCAGCTTGTCTTGGTTGTCCCGGTTGGCAAATGTAGGGGACAGGTGGAGCTGGGGTCCCGCAGGACTGGGCATCTGCTGTAGTACCTGAACCACAAGATGGACTGTAAGCACCTTTGCTGAGGGAACACTGCCCCCAAGGCCAAGCCTGTCTCCCCCCACCCCACCCCCCAAAAAACCAAACCTGTAGTGACAGTATCTGAGTGTAAACAGTACTTGATGTCCCCAGAACCCTACTGTAGTAGGGAAGTCAGTCATTTGTGAACCAGGAAAGCAAACCATCCCCTCTTGCATTCACCAGGGCCAGCCCCGTGGGGTATGAGAACAAGGTGATTCCCCTGAGCAGTTGTAGCAGCCTGAGGGGCTAGGGGTGAGGTCAGGGACAGGATAGTGACAATGCCCCTCTTACCCCCAGGTCTTTGAATGTCCAGATAGCACTGACAGCAAGGTTTGGGTCTGCACACTCTAAAGAGAAAAGACAATGAAAGCTCTGGGGCAAGCCAGGGAGCCACTTGGCAAGGCTTTCCTCCTTTTAAAGGAAAACCAACTAGGACTTGCATGTAACTAAAGCTAGTTCTCTTCCCTGAAGTCAGGTAGTCACTTCCCAGCAGGGGGCAGCAGTCACCAGCAAACCTACCCCCTCCAGGGAGCCTGGGATGGGACTTGAAACTCACCAAAGATCCCTTCTTCTTGGGCACAGTCCTGTAAAAACTGGTACAACTGCTCTGAGTAGCCCGCCTCTGCAGGAGAGATCAGACCTAGAGCCCAACTCTGTAGGACTGAGCCTTACTCTGAACACTGCCAGGGGGTAAGGACCTTACCTGAATCTGGCAGCTGCCCCACGTGGAGGAAGGCGGCAGCTTGGGCAAAGGCCTTGAGTATTGGACTGAGCAGGCGGCAGAGGAAGAGGAAGAAGTCAGGGCAGCGAGACTGCTGGCTAAGCTGGAGAGAAACAGGCCAGAGTGAGGAAGGTAGGCTCCCAGGTACCTTACCGCCTCTACCTGCCCTGCCTCCTCGGGTAGCTTTTTCCAACACACCCTGAAGCACCGGCCTCCTGGCTCCTCAAAGTCATCACTCTCACTGTCAGTAAAGTCCCCACTTGGTTTCCACAGCAGCTTTGCACTCAGATGCTGTCTTCCTGTGTCACAGGCTGGCCGGGAGCCTGGGGTCTGGGAATTGGGAGAGTTATTGGCCCCTGGTAAGGCTGGACAGGAATCAGCTCTACAACCCTCAGACCTGGTCCTGTCCTGGCAGGTGAAAGCAGGTCTGGGAAGCCCAAAAGGATGCCCAGTACCCAATCTCACTGAGAAATGTGGAGGCAGGAGGTGTGAAGAGAACCTTAGAGCTACACATGCAAACTGCTGTAACACACATAGGTCTAGGGTAGTGGAGACAGGCTTCCATGTCTTCTGGCCAGAAGAGCAGCCCAGGGCACTGGCACTTAGGGTGGGAGCATACCTCCTCAGCAACCAGGAGCCCACACTGGATGAGCCGGTCCAGCACTTCCTGACAGTAGCAATAGGAAGACTGGCAGGGCTGTAGGAAGAGAAGCATCAAAGCCCTTCAGAGCAAATGTTCTGCTCAGAGGGGGGCACAATCCTGACTAGAGGTAGTTAGAGGCCAAGACCACTACCATAGGTCATAATGACAAGGCCCCAGGACCCTGCTGAGCTGGGGGGAGGGGAGTCTGACCTGGGGCAGCAGTAGGTCTTGGGGTAGCAGGTGCAGCAACAGTAGGATCTGTCGGTACAGTTCATTCTGACTCAACAGCTCTATGCCCTGCAGTTCCCAGGGCCCCTCAGGTGGTACTCTGCCGGCCAGCAACCCCCGAACTGCACAGGCTGGCAGAGGAAGAAGCCTGCTTAAGGAGGGAACTGTTCCCCTCTCCCCTGCACATGCGGCCCAACCCTGCTGAGCCCACTGACTCACCACCCACAGCTTCGCTCAGGAAGGTGGGCAGCAATTCCATACTCAGACGTGCCAGATGTGTGAGGCCTGGGCCAGGTCGTGGCACCACCACCAAGTCCCCCTGGTGGACACGCAGCAGAACCACATGTGCCCTCAGGAGGCTTAGTGTATGTTGGGCCAGGCACCGCAGTTGCCCAGAGAAGCCCACGTCAAAGCCACGAAGCAGTGTCTCCTCTGTCAGCCAGGAAAACTCCCCCAGGAGCTGCGACAGGACCACACCCTAGAGGCAAAAAAGGCCTGAGCAGAGGGCCATGCGCTGCCCTTTACTGGACCCCAGTGTATAGTGCCCTCCCTCCTACCTTTTGGTGCTTCAACAGCAGTAGTGTTGCCATGATGGCTGTGCTCATCACCGCTGAGCTGGCCACACTGGCTGGGGAGAGGTGGGGAAGCAGAGATGTAGGAGTCAGACCTGATCTCTCCTATGCCATTTGACAGTTGTTTCTGACCACACGGCTCCAACTCCACCCCAGCAGCAGAGGGCAGGTTCCAGGAAGTAGTTATTACATGTGCTGTAAACCAGACCCGCCCCAACAGTGTGCTACAGAGTGGCATTTGAGAAGGCACTGACAGACACTTCAGCAAGTACCCTCTGCAGGCACATATTGCTACTCCACTCAGTTACCAGCCATTTACAGCTGAGGACGCTGGTTGAGGGGCATCTGGGGTTGGGTCAGGTTGGACCTAGCATAGATGTGCACAGGCGCCTTCAGCTCAGACACTGAGTCAATCTGCTCCCCCTCTCCCTGGGTGCCCCCCTCTTCTAGCATCCCAAGTGTACCACAAAGGGGGGTGGGGAGGTCAGGTGCTGATAACCATGGGATCCTGGTAACTAGCCCTGTATTACCACACCCCAAAGGTGCAGATCCGGATTTCCCTCACCACTCAGGACATGCCGGCTCAGTCTTCTGACCAAGAGCTGGTTCTCTTCTTTAAGAGTCAAGAGGAGCCCAGTTGAAGGGGTCCACTCCTGCTCCTTCTCAGTGTCTGGAACAACATTGCTGGGATAGAGACAGATCAAGGAATGGAACCAGACTAAAATGTCAGAGTCTAAAGCTTCCCCAAGTCCTGAAAGAAGCCATATAACCCTCTCCTACCCCCCACCCGCCTTCCAGGCCTGTGTGCCATCCTACACTTAGACTGTAGGGAAAATGAGTGTCTGGTGATGTTGAAGAGCCGCCTGCCTCCCTTCTGAGACCCATACATCTGCTCCTTACCATTCACCTAGCACGATGGGCTGCAACAAGTGTTCCAGGGTCTGCCTGCTACCCCAGCAGCTTCTAGCATTGATGGTGTATTCCTGCCCAGGATAAAGTCGTGGTTTGCTCTTGCCCCCCCCCCCCCCCAGGAAGCCTGCACACAGACTGTCTAAAACAGAAAATACTATCCCTACAATGACTCTGAAGGCCAAATCACCACAAAGGCTCTCCCAGCCTTTCCCAACTGGTTTCTTACCTGGAGGGAAAATGGCTGGGCAAAGTGAACCCGGACACAGACTCTACGGTTGCAGCCCCAGCCATTACACAGTTTCCGAAAGACAGCCAAGGCTCCTGTCCATAGCCCCAAGGGAGCCAAGCCCTGCAGGGAAGGAAAGGCTACACATGTATATTTGGGCAAGTCTCAAGGCTGCTTGCTACCCTTTCTGCCCTCTACACTGTTCAGTGGTCTCCAAGCTGTCTTTTCACCCATGACCTCCCTTATGGGGACTTTTCTAAGACAGTAATGGCAAAGACCTTAGGAGATACTGCAGGATGGTGACTGTAGGACAGTTCCTTTTATACACACTTCACATCCCAATTTACTTTGGCCCTGAAGGAGCCCTACCACAGAACATACTGTGCTACCCAGAAGTGGTGCCCACTTGGGGCCCCCAGGGACAAGAGGGTCTCACGTGGTTCATGTCACATGGTGCATCTGGAACTAGGTCATAAGCAATGGCAACTGGTACCAGTGTGGCATCTGGGATGATGCCTTCCTGGACCACTTGGACCACCAGTCCTAACCAGGCCTGGCCCAGGGCTGAAAGCCTGGGCCCTGGGTACCCAGGGGGCTCTTCAAGGAAGATGAGTAGAGGCTGCCCACTGGCAAGCAGCTGCTCCACAGCCTAGAAGGAGAGAGGAAGGGTGAGCATGGAGGCCAGATCAGAAGCAGACCACTGTACTCTTGGCCCACCCCATACATAAACCACTGGGGGCACTCACTGCACAGACCACAGTCCTTGCAAGGATGCCATCTGAGCTGTCCAAGGAGAGGTTGGCCTCTGGTGGCAGGAAAAGTCCCCCAAGTTTTCTCAGTAGAGCTCTGTGCGCACAGGACAAAGCCTAGTGAGAAGGGGCTCTGGAGGAAAGACTGGGCCCAGACACTTGGCAAGAGCCTTGCCTCTCCAGGCCTGTCTGTCTGAGCATTTGAAGCAGCCATGGCCCAGGGACCGATAGCCAGCCAGCCAGCCATCCAAGTCTACAAACTGTCATGTAGCTGAAAACAGACTAAGAAGGCAAAATAACTTCCATCCCCCTGCTCCAGCCTGGGACTTCCCTCCTATCATACCTGAGGGCAGGGGAGCAGGTACAGGGGTCCAAAGCCACACGGACCACACCCAGGCCCTGGGAGAACAGTACAAAAGGCAGCAGGAACCCATCCAGGAGAGACTTGTGTGTAGAAAGGAAAACAAGCGGCGAGCCCTGGTCCAGAGACAGCAAGAAGGAAGTGCCCACCATAAAAACACAGCCAAACCCAGAACCTGCAAGTCCCAGGGCAGCACTGAGGGAGGAAGGGGGCCTCCTATGCACATTCCCAAAGGTAGAGCAGCCTTCCCACTACTTTTAAGGTAATGTAAGGCATAGCAGTTGTTGAAACTGAGGGAAAGACAGGAAACCCTGTAGGAGCAGGGCTATGAGACATGGGTACAAGGCTGTCTAAGAGCTGTGAGTTTTTTCTAACAGCTGATAGGGTCTGGGGTTGCCTCTGCTCAGGCCATCCAAACCTGTCCAGTATGGTTTGGCTTACCTCCTGGACAGCCTTGTGGACCATCTTCATCTGTCCCTTGTGAAGCTGCACATTCAGGAAGAGGCGGTTCAGGAACCACAGCAGTGCCCAGCTGAACAACCTTGGAAGCAGTGCCAGCTTGAGGGTCGGTCACCTTCATAAGG